TATAGAGGTACCTAGTGAATTTATTTTGCACCCTTTCCAACATGACCGCATATCTTGCATAAAACACAAATAAAAAGTAATCCCTCTGGTATGGACATATTTAAATAATTGTATGTTTCTATTGTTCACAGAGAGTGGGTTGCGATCTCCGTGTAGGTTCAACGCGTCGAGTTGACGAGTGTGGCGTATGCGGTGGCGACGGATCCTCCTGCTCCAGACCGCGGTATCACTGGATTTCTACACCTGGTTCTTTGTGTTCAGCTACTTGTGGGGGAGGTGAGTCTAGTTTACTGTCTATGAAGATAAAACCTATTCGATGTCCTGGAATTATTATTTATACAAAGATCGAAGAAACACAAAGAAAAATCTCTCTCTCTCTCTCTCTCTGAATCAACACATCTCTCGAATTTATCTGAGTGCTTGTTGCCCATTTTATATAAGTGCCAGCGAATAGCGACATCTCTCGCCAGGACTGGTAGCTGTTAAGGTACTAACTGGGTGATAAATCTTTCATAGATTTCTCATAGATGGCGCTACGACTAAAAAGTCGTTGAAAAACCAAATACAAAGGCACGACGTAAGCACATAGAAAAATTCGTGAGGTCCGCTGGTTCGTTCCGTCGCTTAGTTGATATAGCGTCTGGCACGGTATACTAGAAGACGTCGGTTCGAAGGATTTTTTCTGAGTGTTCGATCTTTGTATTAATAATTATAACAAACTAGTGGAGTAATTTCACAAAAAACAATTGAATATCAATTCAATACAAATTTAAAATATAAATTAATTTTCTCAAACGTTCAATGACTCGCGCTCGCCTTGACTCTGATTCGTGAGGTTTTTAGGGCACCGAGCCGTGCAAAATGAGTCGGTTTTGTTAATGTAAACTCCCGAACTCGAGTTTTTTACAACACTACTTACTTCTACAAACGTCTAATTTGTATGCGTCCTTAAAGTCTCTGCTTAGGGTACGCCAAAATTATACAAGAATGGCCCAAACGTTGTTATAGTCCAAGTTGTAAGATAGCTCATGCAAATATTCAAGCCGAATTGTCAAAATTTTATTATCCTGAATCTGACCCTATAATAGCGACCATTCCTTGACGTTTAGTAATTAGTGTAGTCCTGTGGGAAGCATTTCGTTCCGCCACTTGATTTGCAGATTTGTGGACCTCGCGATCCCTTAGCAACCGTCCTGTCAAGGGGTTAATAAAGATACTCTAGCACTATATATGTCAATGACCACAGGTTTATATTAAGATAGAAGTACGTATTATAGGTTTTTGTTTATATAAATTACATGTACATTATAAGTTAAGATTCGAAAGATGAGAAATCATCACTTGTTGATTTAGCTAGACAGTATCGCCGCGGTTACGGGCATTAGAATTGGAGTTTAAATTTGAATGGACATGTCAGTAATGTAGTTAAAGTTTACGGGCTACCTCTGTCTTCGTAATCTATGCTTTTGTTCATTCGGTACAAGATTGTCTCAGTGTTTCTATATTCGCGTAAAAAGTTTCACATCTAATTCAGGGAATCACGTACAACCTGTACGAACCAGATTGCTACTTTGGTGCTTATCACATAACATCTTTGGATCCCAATACGGTGAATGGAAACTGCAAGAATACTTGTACTCGTACAGAGCAGATGTCTGAAGAGGGCTCTTTCAATGTCAACCTCTTATAGATAAGAACGGTCGAATGGAATTCCAAGAGTCCTCCACAGAACGGAACGGTCTGACAAAATTATGAGCACACCTTCCGTAATCGCTATCATCGATAGACTGATAATTATTGAGGTAGTTTCCTTGTGATCGCTTAAGGTAACAATAATAGTTTCATCGTTCATTTAGACAGGATTCGTTGAACATTGATGCATAATGAATTCACATCCTTCATCTAATAAAGGCACATCTGCGAAATGATAACGTAAGATGGCGATATCCCGTGTATTTTGAAACCCAATGTTTTTGACAACGTGCATTAAAGGGACCTATCAATACTTGTGATTCATTATCAAAGCATCCAAAAAGCTAATTGAGTACAGCCTGTAGAAGCTGGGGTTAGAAACTTGATATAGATTATGTTTGTAATATTGCCTTGCATTTCGCTTCAGATGTTTGTTTGTAGTAGCACAAAACAACAAGTTTTCAGTTTGTTCCTAAATATAATAAAGAACTTGATGAATATTCCTAAATCTGCCAAACTCTGCCACATTTAATACAACGTTAACATGTTCTGCCGCAATGAAAATGAATAAAAATTAAATCTTCCCAAATGACAGAAATCTGCCACAAATAATCACACTGTCTCAATCTCAATATGACATTGACATTGGCAAGAGGCCTTTTGTCAAAACGTTCCATTGCTAACTTTCTTATCTCTCATTTAAATATTGTCTTAATTCATTTTCGTCACATTGTGTTTTATTTTTTACTTTATACTGCTTAATTGATTATTTGATTAGGTATTTCATAGTTTTAATGTTTTATGTGTGCTATAAAATAACCAATACTTTAGGTAGGTAAAATTCAATCACGCTTAAAATCAAACCTACGTACAAGAACGTTACCTAATCTATGGCCAAACTGAATCAATTGCGTTATGTTCTTGCATTTATTCTAAAATACATTGTTTTACACTTTCTTTATTATTATTATAGACTTCTAAAAATACACAAAAATATATTGATAACTAGGTATAAACTAAAACGTAAAATTATACTAGCAAAGTCCAAGAACGGCTCTATGTTGATTTTATAATTATTAGGTCAGCTTTCGCCATCTTTCTTTAAAGGAGACAGATTTAAAGATTCTATACGAACGTAAAAAGTCGAAAACTATAAAATTTCACATAATATATATATACATGCTTCAGCTATTTCGTATTAATAATTATAATAACAAATCTTACATAAAAAAAGCTCTAAACTTAAAAATAAGAACATTTGTGACACATTGGAGTCTGAACTAGATAAACCAGACCTGTATTACAGCTCAACAGGTTCCCACATCATTAAACTATTTAATACTTCCTCCTGCTGGGTGCAGGTCTCGGGTTGGGAACTTCACACGTTCCGAGGGTTGTGAACAACTCATTTACTGATTTTTCTATGAAACCGAATGTATCGTAAATTACGCAACTCAAATAACGCAACTCACAACTCACAAAATTACGTTCGTTAGGCCCACAGAACAATAAATAGAAGTGGATATTTAGCGTCCGACGCGTGGCTGCATTAGATCTCTGAAAACCTACTTGAGATCCACCATTTTCGCTTTACATGGTATGGTTGTGCCATTCTTTCATGCAAACTCTCTAAAATCGCAGAACAATGCCTTATTGTGCTGTTTTGGCGTGCAAAAATGCAAAACATTACCCGTGGTGGCATTTCATATCATCGGAGTCTTATTTTAATAAATTTTGAATTTCTATTTATCGAATTGATTCAGATGTTAATCGTTCGTCGTAGTCCAGCTACTGCCCGCAAGATGGCAGCACGTTGAATAAAATTTCAATAAAAAATCAAAACGTCGTCACTTGCAATGAAGGTATTGAACTTATTGAACTTTAAACGATATAGCGATTAAGTAAAGTTTAAATTATAATGACAATCCAGAATTTGTTACGTCTTTTTAAATTAGAAACTATGACCAATCATTATCAAGATTTCGTAATGTTTATCATTTGTTTGTGTGCGTTATAGCGACAGCGGTTCCGATGGTAATCGAGTCTTAATGCACTTCCATTGTTTTTTTCTTCCGTGGTTTGGCCTCACCGTTATAGTCACAGCAGTAGAGCTCCTTGTAAAAGAGTTCTTCCAGGGAACTACTGCCACCTTACCTATTTCTGTCGCCAATCAGTAATGTCAGCATTAATTACTGTGTTCGTTTTGAAAGGTAAAGGTGCTGGTGAAACTATAGGCACTTGTCAACTATGCCTCAGGGTGACGAGCGCAATGGCAGTGCCCCTCTGATCTTTGTAATTTAAAGCTCTGAGTGGCACTGTAACTGTTATAGACAGGCGTGTAGCTTATCATTAGGCACACGACTTGCTCTTCCCGTCAATTGATATTATAAAAAAACCAGATCGTTAAATGCAAGTGCGCTGACCAAAGAGATTAAAAATGTTCGTACAAATTCTCAACCCCTCAGAGGTTGAAGGATTGTAGAAACCTTTTCCAAGTTTCCAAGATTATCTCGTGCCGTAACTTCCTTCAGACGTTTCAATTGTTAATTAGCTGTCAGGCTCCAAATAACAAATGGGTTGGTTTGGCCCTTGAAGGGTTTTGCGGGCGGTAAATAAGCAAGTGTCGAATTCTCTACCTGGGGATCTGTTCTCCGAAAACTATAACTTTACACTTTTCAAGGTGAGAGTGAATGACATTTTCAAGGAAACTTGCTCCATTCTGATCTACATCGTTATATATTATCGATCGAGTTTGTTTTGAAATGGCAAGAATTTTCTAATTAAAATTTATTTATATTTAAGATATCCATAATATTAACCTTAGAGCTAAGTCCAAACTCATGGTACCACGATTTCGTTTAACCAAGGTAAACAACTCTTTTATGGGGAACTGTATACGTTTTTACAATAAGATTCCGGAGCATATATTAAGTTTATCATTTCCTAAGTTTAAAAACTACATTAAAAATATTTTGATCGAAAAATCTTATTACAAAATTGAAGACTACGTGTTAGATAAAGATGTATGGAAAGACGACATGGCTCCAGAATCCACACAAATTTGATTCAAAGTGTATTCCATAGCATTTAAGTTTATTTGAAAAGAGCAATCCCTAGAGTTTCTTGCTCGTTCTTCTCAGGGAGCTCAGCGTAGTGAACGAGCAGTAGCTTAAATGTGACGTTTTCAAGTGTAAATTTATTTTACCTATGGAATAAATAATCTTTGACTTTGACTTTGACTTTGACTTATTTATTTGTTTATTACATAGATAGCTTATAATAAGTTACCGGCAATCGGACCCGGAGCTTCCTCATCCAGCGCCCACTGTGTAAACCGTTTGGCCACCGATGTCGTCATACAGAATAGGTATTACAATAATAAAACAAATGAATTGCTTAGTTGGCATGATAGCGTCTGATACAATTTGTTAGGAGACGTCGTCGGTTCGAATCCGGACGGATCGAAGGAATTTTTTGTAAGGGTTCGTTCTTTGTATTAATCATACATTTAGTATATAGGTACCCATATACTCAATCTGTGGTATTAATAATTATAACAAACTATTGGAGTAATTTCACGAAAA